GTTTCGAACGCAACACAAGCGTCCGTCATCAGGTGGGAACAACCACAGCAAGAAATAACTGCCTACTTCAGCAGTTATTTCTTGCTGCGGTGATTTAATTTAATTTATATTATTTTATTTTATACCTAAATGACTTTACCGAAAGAACCAAAGCGTTTGTAAAAATTTATTGTATTTTTCTTTAACTTTGTTTTCCTTTTCAACATATTACTGGGGGTATGCCTCACAGTACCTGTAGCCTCGGGGCCTACAACAATCTGAAACCGGCCTTGGTGCCACCCCCATCCCCCACTCCCCCTCCCCCTTATTAGGACGGCAGGGATGAGCAGTGGTGACACACTCCTTCGTGACAGCAAGAACGCTCAGCGCTTAGACTCGCGTGCGTCTGTGTGGAGTCTGTACCCTCTCGCCCTGTTCGGCATGGGTCCCCTCCAGGGTCTCCGGTTCCTCATAGCCTCACTCAGCCAAACATCCCAATGAAGTAGGACCCTACTGAAAAATAAGTCTCGTGTTGATCGTGAGCGAGAATCGAACTCTCCCCTGCTTCGTAGACAAAGATCCTCATCGTAGCCTTAACAGACTTTTTGGGGCAAGTGCTATTAGCGAGTAGCACCTACGATGATAATAGGGGGTTTCCCCTTTTTCATGGCCAAAAAAACAGGTGTTAAATGTTAAAACACCAAACTGAAACCTTTTACAAGGAATCATGTCTGCATTAACCACAATGCTTGTGGTCAGGAAACAAATAAAAAACATACTCTGATAATATATGCATTTGTCCTTGAAACTAATTGGTCCACACCAGAGACAGCTTTCTTTTGAGCCTCGTCTCAAACGGCGTTAGACCAGAGGACGTCAAAAGGCGCCTATGATGGCTGACACGGTACACGAGTAGGTCGGTGGCCAGCAGCACCACGTCCGACCGCCTTTGTCTCCCAGTGGCGATGTTTACACACCGCACTCATCTGATGACAATCGAGTACTCTGCATGAGTTGAATCCTGGGGTACAAACCACGTGGCAAAAATGTACCCCCACCTCCACCCTCCCTCCATTCGGGGTCAGAATTCGACGGGGTTCGAGACCCTATGCTGACCCGCTTATAGAGGGACATCTGTGAAAAAAAGCTTAAATACAAATTCTGATTATGATGCCACACGAGCTGGCCGATTCCTTCATAGATTCGCGGCTCTCAGATAAACTATCGACTCAACTAGCCCGCGGTGACGTAACGTGCTAATGGGATTCTTAATGAGTGTGGGGGGAGGGGGGTATAGGATCGAGATGCAGGGAAAGGTCAGTGGATAATTAGAGCGGTTCTCACCGCGCCGAACGGGGGAGCGGGGAGGGCGGGGGAGCGGGGAAAGACATCTGAGTGTCATTCACACACACACAACAACCGCCATTCGCCACGAAGTGATGACGTCACCACGGCGTTTGTGCCAGGCTACGTGCACTTTAAGGTCACGTGAAATGTCGAAGGCTCGCTGGCAGGAGGTCACGGGAAAGAGCCAAGTTCGTTTGGTTGTCTTACTGAGACGGCTGGTAGATGCACCGCCTCTACCCCCTGCTGTGCCAATTTCCAGTATTTTAGCCGACCAGTGGTCCGCTCGTTGTTGTGAGCGTCGCTCCTCTGTCCTCCGCTGTTGTTGGAGGGCGACTGCCTCCAACTGCCCAGCGGCGTCTTTCACGAGCCTCTTCCACAGAGGCCGATCTTGACACCGCTGGTACCAGTCATCGGCAAGTCCACTCAGCTCCACGTCCTCCTGTACCACATCAGCCCCATATATTTTCCAACTCGTGTCACTCACTCACCCATCCACCCACTCACCCACACACTCACCCACTAATCCATCATCAGCTCCATCTCTTCTCTAGCCCGTGCCGCCTCCGTTTAGCCCCCTCTATCCGGTCAACAAAAGCTGCTTGGGCACGCGGTGGCTGGATCATGCGGGCTACATGACCCCGCCAAAGCAGTCTTGCCGGCCGGAGGACTTTCACACACACAAAGACAAAGATCCCCGGTATAGCCTCAACAGACTGTTGGGACAAGTGCTGTTAGCGAGCAGCACCTATTAAGGCCGGAACGGCACACGAGGGGGTGGGTGGCCAGCACCAAGCCAGGCCGCCTTTGTCTCCCTCGTGGCGACGTTTACTACACACCGCACACAAGGTACTCATTTCAGGCCGAGTCGACCTTGGGGAGGCCCAGGACCGGTTCAGAAATTCCTCATGCACGTTGGTGGTGAGCGGGAATCGAACTCGTGGGGTTTCGTAGCGCAGTGGCATAACCACTGCGCCACCGCTCCCCAGTGTCCTCACACGTGTCGCCATGTGCGTAACGTTCAGCCTGAATGGCGACCTCTCTCCCTCCCTCCCTCACAGCGGAGGACATCGCCCATTCTGTGGTGCGTGGTGGCGAGGTGACGGGCAGAGCGCCCTTGCCTGTTGGCGGGTAGTGCGGGGCAATAGCGGCCTCTAGTGGCCGCGACGCGACACGGCGCTCAATCAGTCGCCGCGTTCCCACGGCCGTGATCAAAACAAAGGGGCCGTCCATAAATGACGTCACGCGATTTTGGAAGATTGTTGATCCCCCCACCCCTCGTCACACGGCGTCACAAAAAGTCAGACCCCCTCCCCCCCAATAAAAATAAAACATGCTTCAAATCGCTTTAGCTATTGTCATTGTAGTGCGTATTTAATGTGGCGCTGCACTCTGATGTTATAGGAGAAAACATTTATTATAAAGTCTATTTTATTAAGTAGAACGTGTTGTCTACATTTATTTAAAGTTGCGCATTTCGATGTGACGTCACATTTCTCACCCCCCCCCCCCCCTCTTCACACATCGTCACAAATGTCTGACCCCCCCTCCTCCCTAGGTGCGTGACGTCATTTATGGACAGTCCCTTAGAATATTTATTCGTCCTCGAGGAATCCGATGAGCTCGAAAGATATTTTTCATAGATGTCTGGTAGGTGCAGGTCAAAATGTTACAGCGACAAACAAAACACAAAAAAACATGATCGGAGTACCAAGGACAGGAACGGTGATGGAATCCAAGTCCGTAGCCATGGAGTCAACATTGGGGGGGACCAAATCTTCCAGGGGTCTGGGCCCCCCCCCCCCCCCCAGAAAAAAAAAATCTAAATTTAAAAAACTAATTTCCTGCCTAAAATATATATTTTTTAAAATCACTAACACATAAGATGGACTTTTTATTTCTTTTTTACAATAATGTCTAATAATGTATTGTATTACATTGCTCTGTTTTAACTTTTTAAAAATATTTTCTGATTTCATTGTATGTAATGGCAGAGTTTAGGGATTAATAAAGTTCAACCACAATCATATGAACAGAAATCAATTTTATAGCATTATATTGGGGGGATGGAATCACTTAAAAACTTTTTACAAATAATAATTGTAAAAATATTTATCTTACCAAGGAAAGCCCACAGCTCTTAGCTCCTTTTTCAGGAGTGACCTGGCCACAAATGATAGCTGAACAAAGTGGCTCATCGCGTCGAAATGTACAGCAGCAAAATACTCTCAACAATGTGGACGCATGTTTCATCGAGCAGTGGATAGAACTTTCTTTTGCTGCTGATTTCGCACAAGTTACCGACCCCGTGTTGTTGCGAGAATCAAACATTGTACCGAGTAAATGCACAACCCACTAGGCAGCGCGTTTCGGCCAGGAGATGGCAGCATGACTGTTTGATTGAATCCATCTGTGTGGAGTTCAGCGTCGCCCCTGTGAGTGTAGAGCGGCGCGGTGCTGGGTTCTTCTCCGTGGCTTTCCGGGCTCCTACCACGACGCCGAACTCCCATCAAGAGAACGAAGCTCGCGGCCAAACCTGCCAACGTAACAGCACCCTCCCAACAATGATTCATGAGACTCGGCGAGGCTCTCCTGAGCAATTATGCATCTTCCAGGGGATGGGTGGTGGCCAGCATCACGCCCGGCCGCCTTTGTCTCCTCAGCGGTGATTTCGACAAATAGTCCCAGATAACACTGGTCAACACACTTTTTCTGGCATAAGGTATTCCAACGGCTTGAATGTAATTTTGGGGTGCTGATTCCAAATCTGGCATCAGTTTTTGTCTATCACATCAGATTTTTGAGATATCAAATATTGCATTTTAAATAAAAACGGCAGAAGAAAAATATTAAATAAATGTGGATATCTACATAAAATGATATTATAAACACACTTTCCTAAAAATACAGCACCATATTTTAACACTAAAGCAGTCACTGACTCGCAACAACTTGCAATCATAAGTCACAGAGTTAATTTCGGGTAAAATCAATGAAAATGGGGTATGCCGATAGCATAAAAATGAGATGTGATAGAGCAAATCTGAGATCAGATTTGAGATTGAATGGACCTAGGGGAGGAGGCCCACGGCCGGTTCAGATTATCGCCACGGCTCTTGGCAGCCGTGAGAGGGTTTCCAACTCGGGTGGCCGGGTTCGTAGCGCAATGTGCTAACCGCTGCGCCACCGCTCGCCCAGCACGATAACAATTGCCCCCCCCCCTCCCTCCCCCAAAAGGATAAAGATCATAAAAAAAAGTCTCGATTTAGTTTTTAATGCTCGACTCAATGATGCCCTAAAAGGGGCTGAGCTACCTTGGTAGTGGGCGGGGCTACCCCAAACAGTGGGCGGGGCCAATGAGTCGTAGGATGCGTGTCAAGGAGGAGGAGGAAGACGAGAGAGAGTGAGCGAGAGAGTGACCGAGAGGGTGACCGAGAGGGTGAGCGAGAGGTGGGGGTTTTACATGAAGCTAAGTAAAAAAAAAAATTACGAAATGATGAACGAAGCAAAGTGCCGAATACACCGAGCATCTTCTTGTTTCCACTGATCGTAAAAAAATAATAATAAAAAAGACGAGGGAAGGAAGGAAGGATGACGAGGGAGAGAGGGAAGAGGAGGGAGGGAGGGAGGCAGGTGGAGGAGGAGGAGGAGGAGGGAGTAGCAGCGAGGAGGAGCCACGCAGCTCAGAGCTCTCAAACTCAGCCTCCCTCCCCCACTCTCACCCCGTGCCTGGCCCACGATGGACAGCTTCTCGCTTGCCATCGTCGCGATTCTCCTGAGCTCCTCCGCTCCCCCAGGTGAGTGGCTCCACACGGCCCCGAGACGGAGTGGCGTGGCCATGAGTTGACGCGCATCGCGCCACGAAGCCCTCAAACGACTCGAGCTCTCATTGCTAGCCGAGGCCACGAAACTTTCGTGACTGCAAGTATTCATATTCTTATGTGTTTTCGGTAAAGTCACGTAGGTAAAAAAATGTAAATTAATAAAAGTAAAATAAAATAAAAAATAATGATTTTTATTTTATTTTACTTGTAAATTAATAAAAGTAAAATAAAATAAAAAATAATGATTTTTATTTTTTATTTTATTTTACTAAATTTTTTACCTACGTGACTTTACCGAAAAAAACCTGAGAATATCGGTGGCGAGTGAGATCTGGAACCGGTTCGGCGGCTCCCCCCCCCTCTACCACCACCCTCGCCCCAACCAACTTCACCAACCAGCATGGTGAAGTATGGTCGGCAGCGTTGACAAAACGGGGTCGCGGAGTCGACAACTCTGGGCTTCTCCGCCACGAGACGTTGGTGAACTTTGCCATCAATACGGGGGAGGGGGGGGGCGGGGGAGCGAGTGGGTTGGTAATATCCGTGTCTCTGCCTGCCCCCCCTTCTCTACGTGCCCCCCCCCTCTTCTCTCCGTGCCCCCCCCCCCCCCCCACACACAGTTGTCTCCGATTGCTCTCAGTACCCCGCGGAGCAGTACGGGGTGACGGTGGTGTCTAAGAGCACGGCGCTACTCAACGCGAACCTGAAGATTCGTCCCGGCTGCTCAGTGACCCAGGTGGGTGGGGGGCGGTGTGGGGGGGGCAGAACGGGTGAATTGGGGGGCACGAGAGAGAGGCGGCCGAGGAGCGCGACTTCTTCAGCGGTGGCTGCTCTAACCACCTCTACAAACACAGAGAGCTTCGTGTATCAGTGGATCGAACACGGTTGACGATCATGAACCCCCCCCCCTACTCCCCAAAACCTCCGATTAGTTACGGTTCGCTACGTACGGTTCAAAATAAGTTCAACATACGCACTGTACGTACGGAACAACCCTCGCAGGTGGGACTTGCTTCTGTCGATATGAAATGATGGCCGTTGCCCGAAGCGTCGTATCACAGTTCCAACCCGCTGTATTGCGCTCCTCCTACGTTGCCCGAAACGTCGTATCACAGTTCCAACCCGCTGTATTGCGCTCCTCCTACGTTGCCCGAAACGTCGTATCACAGTTTCAATCCCGCTGTATTGCGCTCCTCCTACGGAGTAAAGCCTCAATCGAGCCTCGTGGGTCTTCGTCAAGACGGTCTCGCTACGTTTCCCACAGTAGGGGGGCGATGATAATTCACTGGTCAACAAAAAAACATTTTTTTTCTGGCCTGGATTTTTGCAGCTGTTTTAGACTAATTTCAGGGTGCTGATTCCAAATCTGATCTCAGATTTGCTCTATAACATCTCATTTTTATGCTATCGGCATACCCCATTTTCATTGATTTTACCCAAAATTAACTCTGTCACTTATGATTGCAAGTTGTTGCGAGTCAGTGACTGCTTTAGTGTTAAAATGTGATGCTGTATTTTTAGGATAGTGTGTTTATAATATCATTTTATGTAGATATCCACATTTATTCAATATTTTTCTTCCGCAGTTTTTATTGAAAATGCAATATTTGATATCTCAAAAACCTGATGTGATAGACAAAAACTGATGCCAGATTTGGAATCAGCACCCCAAAATTATCTTACAACCGTTGGAATACCTTATGCCAGAAAAAGTGTGTTGACCAGTGTATAATTATTGCTGCTGCCGAGTACGACCCCGATCGAGTTAATTCTGCGAGGTTTAGGTGGGGAGGCCTTGATCCAGCAGGCTGATGAAGACACTATATCCATTGTCTTTTGTTCGGGGAAGTTCTGCTTTATTTGTCAGGGGGTGCGGTTTTCGGGGATGACCGAATGACCTACGTCATACCGGTAACGGATGACGTCACAATAGCGGTACCGCACTGATCGACATCTTCATAACGCACGTGGCTTTGTGGCACTCATGGGCCAGATGACTTCACCTCCGTCTATCACCGTGCTGATGCCGCCCTCAGTACACGAACCCTGCTGTGTATCCCGGATGTTTCGCTCTCCCAGGTATTTTGCCTGTGTCGTTTATCAGGATATGGCTGTAGGGGAGGGCGTGGGTGGAGTGGGGGATTTGAGGGCTGGGGGAGCGGTGGTGGAGCGGTTAGCGCGCTGCGCTACGGACCCGACGACCCGAGTTCGATTCCGGCTCACGGCCAACACCGGTGACGATTATCTGAAGGAGTCCGGGGCCTCGCCTAGGTCGACTCGGCCTCAAATCAGTACCTGGTGCAGTAAACATCGCCACTGGGGAGATAAGGGCAGCCGTGCCTGGTGCTGGCCACCCACCCCCTCGTGTGCCGTGCCGGCCTTCATAGGTCCTCACCAACAGCACTTGCCCCAACAGTCAGTTAAGGCTACGCGGGGGAATATTTGCCTTTGGTGTGGTGGGGGACCCCGCGAAGACTAAAGTCAGGGACATGCTGCATTCACAATCCCCTTCAAGCAGTCACTTCTCGAAGACTTTGAAAGGCCGTCCCATTGAGAGGGCGAGGTCTGTCTCCTGCCCCCCCCCCCCGCCAGGTGCAATGGTTCAAGGGCCCAACGATCGTGGCGATGCTCAAGTCTGGGATCGTGACCCAGGTCAATCCGCGCCCGAGCAGCCGACACATCATCTTATCCAGCAGTGGATTATCCATGCTCATCTCGCCGGTGGACACGACGGACGCGGGCAGCTACCACTGCTTGGTCACGATGAATGACCAAGCGCCGAACAATTTGACGGTGGTGCTCACCGTGAATGCAGGTCAGAGGGCAGCGAGATAACATTAGTACCATAGGGGACCACCATCGCTGTATTATTCAAATACCTTACACGCGTCTTTAAATATCTCCATGGCCTTTCCCCACCTCATCTCGCCTCTCTCATCTCTTTTTACGTCACCTCTCGTCCTCTTCGTTCCCAATCTGCTCTCCTTGTGCCCAATTCCGTTTTAGATCGTTCTCCCTCCTTGCACGCTCCGCTTGAATCAACGCCTGTACATTTAAGCAGCACTGCCCAAAGACTCAGCACTGCCTAAAAAAACTCAATATTGCCAATAGACTCAACATTTCCCATAGACTCAACACTTCCCATAGACTCAGCACTGCCTCTGGACTCTACACTACCCATAGACTCAACACTTCCCATAGACTCTACACTGCCCATAGACTCTACACTGCCCATAGACTCAACACTGCCCATAGACTCCTTACTGCTCATAGAACACTTCCCATAGACTCAGCACTGCTGCAAAACTCCACACTGCCCATAGACTCAACACTGCCCATAGACTCTACACTGCCCATAGACTCAGCACTGCCCATAGACTCATTACTGCTCATAGACTCAACACTTCCCATAGGCTCAGCACTGCTCATAAAATCAACACTGCCCGTAGACTCAGCACTGCCCATAGTCTCTACACCACCCACAGACTCAACACAGCCCATAGACTCAACACTGCCCATAAACTCAACACTGCCCATAGACTAATCACTGCCCATAGACTCAACACAGCCCATAGACTCAGCACTGCCCATAGACTCAACACTGCCCATAGACTTAGCACTGCCCATACACTCTATACTGCCCATAGACTCAACACTGCCCCATAGACTCAACACTGCCCATAGACTCAGCACTGTCCATAGACTCTACACTGCCCATAGACTCAACACTGCCCATAGACTCAGCACTGCCCATAGACTCAGCACTGCCCATAGACTCAACACTACCCATAGACTCAACACGGCCCGTAGACTCAACACTGCCCATAAACTCTATACTGCCCATAAACTCAACACTTCCCCATAGACTCAACACTGCCCATAGACCTAGCACTGCCCATAGACTCTACACTGCCCATAGACTCAACACTGCCCATAGACTCAACACTGCACCATAGACTCAACACTACCCATAGACTCAACACTGCCCATAGACTCAACACTGCACCATAGACTCTACACTGCACCATAGACTCAACACAGCCCATAGACTCAACACTGCACCATAGACTCTACACTGCACCATAGACTCAACACTGCCCATAGACTCTACACTGCACCATAGACTCTACACTGCACCATAGACTCAACACTGCCCATAGACTCATCACTGCCCATAGACTCAACACAGCCCCTATATATGAAGCAGTCTACCTCATTAACCTCATTCTCTTCCTCTATTAACGCCTTACCACTTCTTCACCACCGCACATTCCATTCCTCTTCCCTCCCCTCGCCCCTCCATTCCGTTCCGTCCCTCCCCTGCTCTTCCGTGACCCCTCTGTGCCCTCTGTTACGGTCATTCATTCCGCGCCTCTTGCACTTCGCTTGTCACCTAAATCCTTCGATTTATTTTTACTACTTTTAAACTGCGTAAAGCACCCCGAGGTTATGGTGCTCCGTATTATATAACATAAGTTCGTCATTATTATCATCATGTACGTATGTTGAACCTCTTTCGCACCATACCTAGCCAACCGTGCTACCTATTGCCATCAATACATCTTCAGTGTATCATTGTCATCATCATCGTATTATCATCAGTGTATTTCTTCCACCGTCATTAAACATTTAATATAACTATGGATTCCGATTTAAAGCTTTCGTGACTGCAGGGATTCATCTTCTTGGTTCTTTCGGTAAAGTCACGTAGAAGGGAAGTAATAAAATAATAAAAATAAAACATAATAAAACAATTCTCACGACGTTTCGGCCACAACGCAAGCAGCCGTCCTCAGATGAAAACCAGGTCCGTCATTCAGACTCTGTCGCCTCGACGGACCTGGTTTTCACCTGAGGACGGCTGCTTGCATTGTGGCCGAAACGTCGTGAGAATTATTTTATTATGTTTTATTTTTATTATTTTATTACTTCCCTTCTACGTGACTTTACCGAAAGAACCAAGAAGAACTATGGATTCATCATCATCATTGCGTTTCATCAGCCGGGCAGCGGGTGGCTATGCGCGTGGCTTGCCTGCGATCCAGCACTGTGTGTGGAGGCAACAGCGCGGGTTCGGTGGACCACACACAGATGTTGTTTTGTCACTCCCCTCCTGTGGACGTCTCCTGGTGGATCGCCAGGAGACGGCAGTACAGCAACAACGTGGACTCTACCCATTTCGGTTTCCTCTCACATCGAGGCACTCATTCATAGGCTGAAAATAAATTAATATACAGTGAGGGAAAAAAGTATTTGATCCCCTGCTGATTTTGTACGTTTGCCCACTGACAAAGAAATGATCAGTCTATAATTTTAACAATAATAAAAATATAAAACAATACAATTCTCACGACGTTTCGATTGCAACACAAGCAATCATCATCACGTGTGAAAACCACAGCAAGAACATTTGAAAAAAGTGGTGGTTTTTTCTCAACCGCCAGTTGCTCTCCGTGGTGCTGACCTTAAGAAAAAACCGCCACTTTTTAAATCCTTTATATTAAGTTCGCTTGCTTGCGTGCTTGCGGCAAAATCCCATCACCACCTCCACGCGGTGCCGGCTGGATTCCAACCAACGGTGAGGGTCTTTGGCGTCAGATGGAGCGACCCACCGGCCAAAGTATTTCTGTGTCGCATCTATGGCAACGTCAAATCAACTTGGAACAAGCTAGGGCACCCCTCGAGGGAAACGCGCGCCGTCCTCGCCCAAACGACGCGAGAAGTGGACGAGGGCTACCTGCTCATGGATGGGGCAGGCTAAAGAAGTTAGTCCGACTACGGCTGGGAACACTCAACATCGGAACATTGACAGGGAGAAGTCGAGAATTGTCAGCTGCCCTAAAGGCCCGTCGTATCGACATCGTATGCATCCAAGAAACGAAGTGGAGTGGAGCAAAGGCCAGGGAGATTGGAGAAGGATACAAACTGTTCTACAACGGTGAAAGAAACACCAAGAACGGCGTTGGAATCGCAGTCAGCCAAAATCTACGAGACAACGTCGTGGCCGTCCACCGTGTTTCCGACCGCCTCATGTCCATCGAAATCGACTCAAAGGACCTACGCCTCCGGGTGGTATCTTGTTATGCGCCGCAGCCCGGCTGCCCAGCAGATACCAAGGAGGAATTTTGGGAACAATTTGATGGACACATGCAATCGATATATGGAGAAGAGCAGTTAGTAATTGGTGGAGACCTAAATGGACACGTTGGAAGCGCCCGGGATGGATACCCTCGAAACCATGGTGGCCAAGGATATGGTACCCGGAACGATGAGGGAAACCGAGCCCTGGACTTTGCGGAAGCCCATGATCTTGTCCTCGCCAACACCTTCTTCAAGAAGAGACCGTCCCATCTCATTACGTACGCCAGTGGTGGGAGATCAACTCAAATTGATTACTGGCTTGTCAAGCGGGATAAGCTGAAAACGGTGACAAACACTAAAGTCATACCATCGGACAACATCGCCCCACAACATCGCATCCTGGTCATGGACATAAAAATGGACATTGGCCAGCGACATCGCCCACCAACAACTGGACAGCAGCGAATTAAGTGGTGGCGGATGAAGGAATGCAAGGATCAGCTGAGAGTTGCCTTTAATCAGATTGACGTGAACACCAACCGACCGGCGAATGCGATTTGGGAAGATCTCGCCGGCCAACTGTGCACAGCAGCAACGGAAGCACTGGGGCTAACTAAGCCGGGAAAACACTTCATTGACAAGCAAATATGGTGGTGGAACGAAGAAGTTCAGCTAGCAGTGAAAGAGAAGAAGCTAGCTTTCAAGAAGTGGCGCCAAACGCTCGCAGATCTGGATTACCAACATTACAGAAACTGCAAATCGGCAGCGAAGCGAGTAGTTGCAGCGGTGAAATTAGCTCAATACGACCAACTGTATGTCGAACTGGACACCCCAGAAGGTGCCAATAAGATCTATCGACTGGCAGAGGCGCGCCATCGTTCGACTCAGGATATTGGTCAGGTCAAATGCATAAAGGATGAGAATCACAGCGCTCTCAGAGACCCGCCCGCCATCCTTCAACGCTGGAGCGACTACTTCTCTGGAATCTGCAACCAGGAATTTCCCCACCCACCTATTATTAGTGCTGAACACGTCCTCGGTCCGGTTTCACCTATCACCATCACCGAAGTGGAACAAGCTATCAAGAGAATGAAGAATGGGAAAGCGACTGGCCCGGACGATATCCCTGCTGAGGCCTGGAAGATCCTTGGCAGGCAGGGTGCTGCCCTCCTTACCCAGCTCTTCAGCACCATCACGAGCACCAGTGAGGTCCCAGAAGCCTGGTCGACCAGCACGACGGTTCCAATTTGGAAGGGTAAAGGGGACGTGGCAGAATGCTCGAATTACAGGCCAATCAGGCTCCTGTGTCATGCGATGAAGATCTTTGAGCGAGTTTTGGACACGAGGATTAGAAACATCATCACCCTATCACCCAACCAATGCGGCTTCGTCAAAGGATGTGGCACTACGGACGCCATATTCGCGGCGAGGCTCCTGCTGGATAGGCACAGAGAGAAGAACAAAGCTGTGCACGTGTCGTTCCTCGACCTTGAAAAGGCATTTGACAGGGTCTCCCACGACCTCATCTGGCACTCGCTTCGATCCCATGGAGTCCCTGAAACCTACGTGCATTGGGTGCAACTCCTATACAAGAACGTCACCAGTGCAGTCAGGTGTGCAGTGGGCATATCACCGCCATTTCCCATCAGCGTTGGAGTGCACCAAGGATCGGCCCTGTCACCACTCCTGTTTATCCTGTGCATGGACACGATCACTGCCGACCTGCACACGCCCCTCCCATGGTCAATTCTCTACGCGGATGACGTCCTCCTCTCAGATGAAGAGAGAGGAGAAGTGGAAAGACAAACGCGCCTGTGGAAGGAACGTTTGGACGAAAACGGGATGAGGTTCAACATCAAAAAGACGGAGTATATGGAGTGTGGCCCCCAAACCGACGGCACCATCAGTATTGACGGAGAAGATCTGAAGAAAGTGACGGACTTTAAGTACCTGGGCTCCACCATCAGCTCAGATGGTAGCATCACGACTGATGTGAGGTCACGAGTCAATGCGGCGTGGATGAAATGGAGGCAAGTCACCGGAGTCCTCTGTGATCGGAAAATGCCGGATAGGCTGATGGGAAAAATATACAAGACCATCGTCCGACTGGTGGCACTCTATGGATCCGAGTGCTGGCCAGCCACAACTGTACACGAACAAGCTCTCCACACCATGGAGATGAGGATGCTCAGATGGAGCCTCGGGCTCACTCGATGGGATTGTGTCAGGAACGAAGACGTTCGGAAGCGACTTGGTGTGGCCCCCATTGCGGACAAGATGCTTGAGGCAAGGCTTCGGTGGTACGGCCATGTGATGCGAAGTGAAGAGTCATCAGTGGCCAAGACTGCCGTGCGTATTGAGCCAGAGGGCCGCCGTCCACGCGGACGTCCGAAGAAGCGATGGATGGACCGAATAAAGGAAGACATGAAGACGGTCAACGCATCCCCTGAAGATGCCCTGGACCGAGCCAAATGGAGAAGACAATGCCGAAAAGCGGACCCTGCGCCACAGCGGGAACAACGCTAGGAAGAAGAAGAAGAAGCTTGCGTGCTTGCGTGCTTGCTTGTTTGCTTACGACCGTGCAAATCTTTCGGTCGTTTTTTAACCCACTTCCCGTGATCCAATCGAGCTGACATTTTGCACACAGATTCGTTGTGCGTGACAATTTATTTTGTTGAAATTTTTTTTCCAAAATTTTCCACTTTTTAGGAAATGTTTTTTTCATATTTAATTTAAAATACCAATGGGATAAAAATGAAACTCTTACTCAAGAAAAACAGAAATGAATAATAAAATAAAACCGATGCCACGCATATAAAGGATTTTATACGAGTAAATTTTTTCAAAGTTTCTTGCTGCGGTTTTCACACCTGATGATGATTGCTTGTGTTGCAATCGAAACGTCGTGAGGATTTTATTGTTTGATATTTGTATTATTTTATTATTTCCCTTCAACGTGACTTTAACGAAAGAACCGAGAATATTTCGCCATTTGTTTTCACTTTCTTCTGGCCTTGTGCCAACTCGCTCAAGTCGTGTGCAACATCTTTCTGGGCACCGATCTCTCACGTCGTTGGCAAGCCATTCTCTGTTCGGTCTTCCTCTCCTTACTGTTCCATTCATTTTTCCAAACATCAACACACACTTTTTTATTTTTCGGTTGTTGGCGGCGTAGGCCGCGTAGCCGTTGTCTTTGAGCGCTCGCTCACGGGGATATCCGCAGGCGACCTGCGAACTCGCCCTGGTGCCTGGACTCGAACCCAGGCCCTCAGCGATGCTGGCTCAGCGTGTCTGACTTCGTTTTCCCCTCGCCCCTCTCCACTCCCACCCCCCACCCACCACGACACGACAGCGACCACGTGCACGGATGCGCTGTTCGCGCCGCTGGTAGTGAATGTCAAAGTCGGGGGCTCTGTGACGTTGCCTTGTGACGTCGCCGTGACGTCACAATGCGTCTTCAAGGAGGTAGGTGGCGCGCTTTCCCTCCCGTTCCCTCGATCTCTCCCTTCGTCACTCGCCTGTAGAACAACACAGACGCTCGTGCTGTCAGACGACTCAGAGAGAGAGAGAGGACGACACAGAGAGAGAGAGGGCGACTCAGAGAGAGAGGACGACTCGGAGAGAGAGATAACGACTCAGAGAGAGAGAGAGAGGACGACTCAGAGAGCATGACTCAGAGTAAGAGAAAGGATGACTTAGAGAGAGAGGACGACTCAGAGAGAGAAAGAAAGGACGACTCGAGAGAGATGGCGACTCAGAGAGAGAGAGGGGGAGGGGGATGACGACGACTCAGAGGCGCATGGAGGAGGAACCACAGACGAGCAGGGAGGCAGCAGCAGCAACCGTGCGGTGTTTCCGGCCGATGTGCACATCCCCTTCTTGAATGGGAGATTAAAGACACAAGCCACGGTTGGTGCCATCGTGGCCATGCAACCCAGACTATGTACCGTACAGTAAACCCATATAGACCCATAGAGATACACACGGACCCATAGAGACCCACAGAGGTGCACAGAGACACATAGAAATACATGAAAGACACGCCAATGGAGTTCCATTGAGGCCATGCAACACAGACTATGTACCGTACAGTAAACCCATAGAGACCCATAGAGATACACAGAGACCCATAGAGACCCACATAGATACACAGGGACCCATAGAGACCCACAGAGATGCACAGAGACACATAGAAATACATGAAAGACACGCCAAAGGAGTGCCATTGAGGCCATGCAACACAGACTATGTACCGTACAGTACACCGATAGAGACCCATAGAGATACACAGGGACCCATAGAGATCCACATAGATGCACAGAGACACGTAGAGATACATGAAAGACACTCCAATGCAACACAGACTATGGATTGTACAGTGAACCCACTGTGGTCTGGTGGGCCCCTTGGAAGGAAGGAGAGGGACGGTTACAGCGTGTAAACATAAATGTGTTGTGAACCCGCCACCACCCGACACGGCCAATTAGTGAGGTTTGTCACTAAACAGAACGTGCCAATCAGTTACTTCAGCACACCGCTTGTGTGTTGGAGAGTAAACCCGAGACACATCAACAATTTGAGTACGACGTTTCGCTGGTGATTACAACGAGCTTCATCAGGCGATAGGCAGAATGTATCTTCTCGCGGTCAAACCCAAAAACAACCTTAATCATGGATAATATTGGTCTCTCTTTCTGCTGAAGCCCTCTCGTGCTGGCGAGCAGCATCATCAGCAGCGTAAACTCGACATTGGCATCGAGAGCCTTGGACAGCAACCACTCAGCATCACTGCTGTGTAGCCGATGCTGCTGCTGCTGCACGCGCCCAATTCGTGAGCGGAGGCTTTTACGAGTCGGAGGAAAAATCTGAGCACGCGTGCAAGGGAGATGATGATGACGACGACGATGGTGATGACGACTACAATGATTACGATGATGACGGTGATTATGAAGATGTTGATGATGATGGCGGTGATGATGACGACGATTATGATGATAACGACTACAATGATGACGATGATGACGGTGATTATGACGATGTTGATAATGATGGCGGTGATGATGACGACGACGATGGTGATGACGACTACAATGATGACGATGATGACGGTGATTATGACGATGTTGATGATGATGGCGGTGATGATGATGATGACGACGATGGTGATGACGACTACAATGATGACGATGATGACGGTGATTATGACAATTATGGTGGTGGTGACGATGATGATGACGATAGTGACGGTGACGATGATGATGATGGTGATGATGACGGTGACAACGACGACGATGACGACGTCCCGCACCTCTGATCAGCACGGTCGCCTACATGCGGTGTGAAAGAAGTTCAACGCACGTACACACGTACACACGTACACGCGTACACACGTACACACGTACACGCGTACTCGCGTACTCGCGTACACACGTACACGCGCACACGCGTACACACGCACACACGCACACACGCACACGCGCACACGCGTACACGCGTACACACGTACACGCGTACATGCGTACTCGCGTACACGCGTACACGCGTACACGCGTACACGCGTACTCGCGTACACACGTACACGCGTACACGCGTACTCGCGTACACGCGTACACGCGTACTCGCGTACTCGCGTACACACGTACACACGCACACACGCACACGCGTACACGCGTACACGCGTACACGCGCACACGCGTACTCGCGTACACAGCGTACACGCGTACTCGCGTACTCGCGTACACACGTACACGCGCACACGCGTACTCGCGTACACGCGTACACGCGTACACGCGTACTCGCGTACACACGTACACACGCACACACGCACACGCGTACACGCGTACACACGTACACACGCACACACGCACACACGTACACACGTACACACGTACACGCGTACTCGCGTACTCGCGTACACACGTACACACGCACACGCGTACACGCGTACACGCGTACACGCGTACACGCGTACACACGTACACGCGCACACGCGCACACGCGTACACGCGTACACGCGCACACGCGTACACGCGTACTCGCGTACACGCGTACACACGCACACGCGCACACGCGCACACGCGTACACGCGTACATGCGTACTCGTGTACACACGTACACACGCACACACGCACACGCGTACACGCGTACACACGTACACACGCACACGCGTACTCGCGTACACACGTACACGCGTACTCGCGTACTCGCGTACACGCGTACACGCGCACACGCGTACTCGCGTACACGCGTACACGCGTACACGCGTACACGCGTACTCGCGTACACGCGTACACACGCACACACGCACACACGTACACACGCACACACGTACACGCGTACTCGCGTACTCGCGTACACGCATACACGCGCACACGCGCACACGCGTACACGCGTACACGCGTACACGCGTACTCGCGTACACGCGTACACGCGCACACGCGCACACGCGTACACGCGTACACGCGTACTCGCGTACACGCGTACACGCGCACACGCGCACACGCGTACACGCGTACACGCGTACATGCGTACACACGTACACGCGCACACGCGCACACGCGTACACGCGTACACACGTACACACGTACACGCGTACTCGCGTACTCGCGTACACACGTACACGCGCACACGCGCACACGCGCACACGCGTACACGCGTACTCGCGTACACACGTACACACGCACACACGCACACACGCACACGCGTACACGCGTACACGCGTACACGCGTACACACGCACACACGCACACACGCACACACGCACACGCGTACACACGTACACACGTACACGCGCACACGCGTACACGCGTACTCGCGTACACACGTACACACGCACACACGCACACACGTACACACGCACACGCGTACACGCGTACACGCGTACACACGCACACGCGTACTCGCGTACACACGTACACACGCACACACGCACACGCGTACACGCGTACACACGCACACGCGCACACGCGTACACGCGTACACGCGCACACGCGTACACACGTACACACGTACACGCGTACACGCGCACACGCGCACACACGCACACACGTACACACTCGCACACGCGCACACGCGCACACGCGCACACACGCACACACGCACACACGCACACACGTACACACGCACACACGCAAACACGCACACACGCACACACGCACACACGCAAACACGCACACACGCACACACGCACACACACACACTCACACACGCACACACGCACACACGTACACACGTACACACGTACGATACGCGTAACCCGCAGGTGCAGTGGATGAAGCGGGAGAGTTCGCTGGCCACGAGGGGCAAGGGCTCCTCCGCTTCGGGAGAGGCTGTGACGAGCGGCAGGCTGCGCATGAGCAGCGCAGCGAACGACTCGGTGCAGGCCATCACTCTGAACCCCGCGGAGAAGGGTGACTCGGACTTCTACGTCTGCGTGGTGACCTTCGAAAACAACAAGACAGCAACGCGCCACCTCTACCTGCACGTGGCGGACGGTGAGAGCGGCGTGTGCATAGGTGCGCCTTGTGCCAGGCTAGGTGCACGTTGAGGCCAGGTAGCGTGGCGTGTTCTCCCCGTGGTCACGTGGATTTTTCTCCGGTCCTCCAGGTTTTTCCCTCCACATTTAGAATCGACATCGCGCGTTTAGAGGCATTTGCCTGCTATAATAAATTCTAGATTTGAAACTTTCGTGACTGCAAGGATTCATATTCTTGGGTTTTTTCGGTAAAGTCACGTGGGTAAAAAATTAAAATTTTAATTAATAAAAGTAAAATAAAAACAAAATAAAAATCACGACGTTTCGGAGGCAACACAAGCTTCCGTCTTCAGGTGGAACCATCACAGCACGCTCGCTGTATCAAGTAAATGAGAAATTCCAAGAGATCCGACCCCGTATTTATATACTGGTTAAGGAGGGCAGAGGGGCTTTACCGAAAAAACCCAAGAATATGCTATAATAAATGTCCGCACGGTGATTTCAGCCTCTTCGTCGAGTTATCATTTGTAGCTTCAGAGAAAAAAAGAGCTGTATAGCTCTGTGGGCCTTACATTGTAAAATTAATAAAATTGTTAGTTTCAATTCCTCTTCCTCACACTCTCCCCCCCTCTGCCTCCATCTCCTCCAAACTCCCTCTTTGTCGCACAGACGAATGCTTCTCTGGCTCCAACGACATGGCCATTGTGGACGACTTGGAGGTCACGCAGCCCTCGCAGCTGCTGAATTGTCGACTTCCGCCAGCCGTGTGCCCGTTGTTTAATGTCAGCTGGTACCAGCGGGACAAACTCCTCTTCAACCTTACGGCTTCTACTGGAAAAGAAGTCGTGAATGGCTTCGAAGCCTGGCCTCTGTCGAGCCGATTCTCGACCATAATGGTTCACAACAAGAAGATGATCGACGCGGGTTTATTCTATTGGTGCCAGGTGCACACGCGCGCTGGTCTGGACTCCCGTTCCATGGTCGCTACGCTGTCTCCAGGTTCGATGACCATCGTCTTAGCATCATCACCATCGTCATCATCGTCGTCATCACCATCGTCATCATCGTCATCATCATCGTCATCATCATCGTCATCACCGTCGTCATCATCGTCATCATCATCGTCATCATCACCATCGTCATCATAATCGTCATCACTTTCATCGTCATCATCGTCATCACCATCGTCATCATCATCACCATCGTCATCATAATCGTCATCATCATCGTCATCATCGTCATCACCATCGTCATCATCATCGTCATCACCATCATCATCACCATCATCATCATCGTCATCATCATCATCATCATCGTCATCACCATCATCATCACCATCGTCATCATCATCGTCATCACCATCGTCATCACCATCATCATCATCATCGTCATCACCATCGTCATCATCATCTCCATCACCATCGTCATCGTCACCATCATCACCATCATCAGCATCGTGATCATTGTTGTAGCATCATCATCGTACCGTATTACCACCATTACCACCAATATGCCATTCATTACAATGTGTGCAGTGTGTGTAGGTTGCACCCTCTCCAACTCTATCCATTATAGTAATCCTATAGTATTGTATCCTATATTAATGCTATTGAATTGTACCCTATATATTAACCATGTAATTATAATCCCATGAACAGGCGTATACCGATTGGATGTTCATCCTCCTCCCTTCTGCTCTTTCACTCTCCGCTCCACCCCCTCCACCACCCCCACCCACCCCCTCTCACCCCCCCCATCACCCCCTCCATCACCCCCACCCACCCCCTCATATTTCACCACACCCCCTCTCACCCCCCCATCACCCCCACTCATCCCCTCACATTTCACCACACCCCCCCATCACCCCCACATCACCCCCACCCATCCCCTCCCATCCACCACCCCCCCCCATCACCCCCCCCATCACCCCCACCCATCCCCTCCCATCCACCACCCCCCCCATCACCCCACCCGACACCCCACCCATCCCCTCTCATCCACCACCCCCCCTTCCATCACCCCCACCCATCCCCCCTCATCCCCCCCTCCCATCACCCCCACACATCCCCTCTCATCCACCCCCCCCCCTTCCATCACCCCCACCCATCCCCCCTCATCCCCCCCCCATCACCCCCACACATCCCCTCTCATCCACCCCCCCCATCACCCCCCCCCATCCCCTCTCATCCACCACACACCCCCTCCATCACCTCTCATTCACCACCCCCCATCACCCCCACCCATCCCCTCTCATCCACCACCCCCCATCACCCCCACCCATCCCCTCTCATCCACAACCCCCCTCCATCACCCCCACCCATCCCCTCTCATCCACCACCCCCCCCATCACCCCCACCCATCCCCTCTCATCCACCACCCCCCCCCCATCACCCCCACCCATCCCCTCTCATCCACCACCCCCCCCCATCACCCCCACCCATCCCCTCTCATCACCACCCCCCCCCATCACCCCACCCATCCCCTCTCATCCACACCCCCCCCATCACCCCCACCCTCCCTCTCATCCACCCCCCCCATCACCCCCACCCATCCCCTCTCATCCACACCCCCCCCATCACCCCACCCTCCCCTCTCATCCACCCCCCCCCCCATCACCCCCACCCCATCCCCTCTCATCCACCCCCCCCCCCATCACCCCCACCCATCCCCTCTCATCCACAACCCCCCCATCACCCCCACCCATCCCTCTCATCCACCCCCCCCCCATCACCCCCACCCATCCCTCTCATCACCCCCCCCCCCCTCACCCCCCCATCCCCTCTCATCCACAACCCCCCCAATCACCCCACCCATCCCCTCTCATCAACCCCCCCCCATCACCCCCCCCCTCCCCTCTCATCCACCCCCCCCCCCATCAAACCCCCACCCATCCCCCTCTCATACCTACCCCCCCCCCATCACCCCGCCACCCATCCCCTCTCATCCACCCCCCCCCATCACCCCCCCCATCCCCTCTCATCCACCCCCCCCCCATCACCCCCCACATCCCCTCTCATCCACCACCCCCCCCATCACCCCCCCCATCCCCTCTCATCCACCCCCCCCCCATCACCCCCCCCATCCCCTCTCATCCACCACCCCCCCCATCACCCCACCCATCCCCATCTCATCCACCACCCCCCCCCCATCACCCCACCCATCCCCTCTCATCCACCCCCCCCCCCCATCACCCCCACCCATCCCCTCTCATCCACCAACCCCCCCTCCATCACCCCCACCCATCCCCTCTCATCCACCACCCCCCCCATCACCCCCACCCATCCCCTCTCATCCACAACCCCCCCATCACCCCCACCCATCCCCTCTCATCCACCACCCCCCCCATCACCCCCACCCATCCCCTCTCATCCACAACCCCCCCTCCATCACCCCCACCCATCCCCTCTCATCCACCACCCCCCTCCATCCCCCCACCCATCCCCTCTCATCCACCACCCCCCCATCACCCACCCATCACCCACACCCATCCCCCTCTCATCCACCACCCCCCCCCATCACCCCCACCCATCCCCTCTCATCCACCACCCCCCCCCATCACCCCCACCCATCCCCTCTCATCCACCACCACCCCCCCCATCACCCCCACCCATCCCCTCTCATCCACCACCCCCCCCCATCACCCCCCCATCCCCTCTCATCCCACCACCCCCCCCATCACCCCCACCCATCCCTCATCATCCACCACCCCCCCTCCATCACCCCCACCCATCCCCTCTCATCCACCACCCCCCCCATCACCCCCCCCATCCCCTCTCATCCACCACCCCCCCCATCACCCCCACCCATCCCCTCTCATCCACACCCCCCCCTCCATCACCCCCACCTCATCCCCTCTCATCCACCACCCCCCCTCCATCACCCCCACCCATCCCCTCTCATCCACACCCCCCCCATCACCCCCACCCATCCCCTCTCATCCACAACCCCCCCATCACCCCCACCCATCCCCTCTCATCCACCACCCCCCCATCACCCCCACCCATCCCCTCTCATCCACAACCCCCCCTCCATCACCCCACCCATCCCCTCTCATCCCCACCCCCCCTCCATCACCCCCACCCATCCCCTCTCAATCCACCACCCCCCCCCATCACCCCCACCCATCCCCTCTCATCCACCACCCCCCCCATCACCCCCACCCATCCCCTCTCATCCACCACCCACCCCCCCCCCATTCACCCCCACCCATCCCTCTCATCCACCACCCCCCCCCCATCACCCCCCACCCATCCCCTCTCTCCACCACCCCCCCCCATCACCCCCACCCATCCCCTCTCATCCACCACCCCCCCCATCACCCCCCCCATCCCCTCTCATCCACCACCCACCCATCACCCACCCTCCATCTACAGCCACCACCCATCCCCCTCTCATCCACCCCCCCCCATCCCCCCCCATCCCTCTCATCCCCCCCCCCATCACCCCCCCCATCCCCTCTCATCCCCCCCCCCCCATCACCCCCACCCATCCCCCTCTCATCCACCACCCCCCCTCCATCACCCCCACCCATCCCCTCTCATCCACCACCCCCCCCCACACCCCCCACCCATCCCCTCTCATCCACCACCCCCCTCCATCACCCCCACCCATCCCCTCTCATCCACCACCCCCCCTCCATCACCCCCACCCATCCCCTCTCATCCACCACCCCCCCCCATCACCGCCCACCCATCCCCTCTCATCCACCACCCCCCCCCATCACCCCCACCCATCCCCTCTCATCCACACCCCCCCCCCATCACCCCCACCCATCCCTCTCATCCACCACCCCCCCCCCCATCACCCCCACCCATCCCCTCTCATCCACCACCCACCCCCTCACCCCCCACCCATCCCCTCTCATCCACCACCCCCCCATCACCCCCCCCCATCCCCTCTCATCCACCACCCCCCCCATCACCCCCACCCATCCCCTCATCCACCACCCCCCTCCATCACCCCACCCATCCCCTCTCATCCACCACCCCCCCATCACCCCCCACCCATCCCCCTCTATCCACCACCCCCCCCATCACCCCCACCCATTCCCTCTCATTCACCACCCCCCCTCCATCACCCCCACCCATCCCCTCTCATCCATCACCCCCCCTCCCATCACACCCCACCCATTCCCCTCTCATCCACCCACCCCCCTCCTCAACCCCCACCCATCCCCTCTCATCACCACCCCCCCCCCATCACCCCCACCCATCCCCTTCTCATCACCACCCCCCCATCAACCCCCACGCCATCCCCTCTCATCCACCAACACCCCCCTCCATCACCCCACCCATGCCCCTCCTCATCCATCACGCCCCCTCATCACCCCCCACACCATCCCCTCTCATCCAACCACCGCCCCTCCATCACACCCACCCCATCCCCTCTCAGCCACCACCCCACCCCACCCATCACCCCCCATCCCCTCTCATCCACCAACCCCCTTCCATCACGCCCCACCCATCCCCTCTCATCCACCACCACCCACCCTCACACCCCACCCATCCCCTCTCATCCACCACCCCCCCCCCATCACCCCCCCATCCCCTCTCATCCACCACCCCCCCCATCACCCCCACCCATCCCCTCTCATCCACCACCCCCCCCATCACCCCCACCCATCCCTCTCATCCACCACCCCCCCCCCATCACCCCCCCCATCCCCTCTCATCCACCACCCCCCCATCACCCCCACCCATCCCCTCTCATCCACCACCCCCCCCATCACCCCCACCCATCCCCTCTCATCCACCCCCCCCCCATCACCCCCCCCATCCCCTCCATCATCCCCCCCCCCCATCACCCCACCCATCCCCTCTCATCCACCCCCCCCATCACCCCCACCCATCCCCTCTCATCCACCACCCCCCCTCCTCCATCCCCCCCACCCATCCCCTCTCATCCACCACCCCCCCCCATCACCCCCACCCATCCCCTCTCATCCACCACCCCCCTCCATCACCCCACCCATCCCCTCTCATCACCACCCCCCCTCCATCACCCCCACCCATCCCCTCCTCATCCACCCCCCCCCATCACCCCCCACCCATCCCCTCTCATCCACCACCCCCCCCATCACCCCCACCCCCCCTCTCATCCACCACCCCCCCCCATCACCCCCACCCATCCTCTCTCATCCACCACCCCCCCCCATCACCCCCACCCATCCCCTCTCATCCCCACCCCCCTCCATCACCCCCCCACCCATCCCTCTCATCCACCACCCCCCCCCATCACCCCACCCATCCCTCTCATCCACCACCCCCCCCCATCACCCCCCACCCATCCTCTCTCATCCACCACCCCCCCCCCATCACCCCCACCCTCCCCTCTCATCCACCACCCCCCTCCATCACCCCCACCCATCCCCTCTCATCCACCACCCCCCCCACACCCCCCCCCACCCCCCCCATCTCATCCACCACCCCCCCCTCACCCCCACCCATCCCCCTCATCCATCACCCCCCCCATCACCCCACCCATCCCCTCTCATCCACCACCCCCCATCACCCCCCCACCCATCCCCTCTCATCCACCACCCCCCCCCCATCACCCCCACCCATCCCCTCTCATCCACCACCCCCCCATCACCCACCCATCCCCCTCATCCACCACCCCCCTCCATCACCCCCACCCTCCCCTCTCATCCATCCCCCCCCCATCACCCCCCCCATCCCCTCTCATCCACCACCCCCTCCATCACCCCCCCACCCATCCCCTCTCATCCACCACCCCCCCCCCCCCCCCATCCCCTCTCATCCCCACCCCCTTCCATCACCCCCACCCATCCCCTCTCATCCACCACCCCCCCTCCATCACCCCACCCATCCCCTCTCATCCACCACCCCCCCCATCACCCCACCCATCCCCCCACCCGCTAGGCCCCCTTGGACACCTCGTGCCGAGCTGACGTCAAAGTCAATGATAGCAGCGTGTCGAAGGGCGACTCGGCCCCCTGCATGCCGAGCGAGTCTGCCTGAGTCGTGCCTCGTCTACAGTCTCACCTCCAGTATCACGTGGTTCTGGGAGACGGAGCTGCTGATGACCATGGACGAGCAAGGCACACGGCGCGGTGCAGGGCCGCGGGCAGGTGGGCGGGCGGGCGGGCGGGCAGGTGGCCGCGTGCGCACACACGAGGCCATCGTCATCATCATCGGCACGCGGTCATCATCATGATCATCAGCGTGAGTTCATCACGATCACCACGAGGTCATGATCATCAACACGAGGTCATCACCACCATCATCGTCTTCACGAGATCGTCAGCACGAGGTCATCATCATTCATCCAGCGGTTGATAGATGGTGGGTGCTGCTGCTGTTTCTGATGATGATGACGCTGATGATGATGCCCATGAGTAAAGATGGGCATAGACAACCTTGAGCCTACAGGTGAGCGTTTTGATCATGATTACGTGGTCACCATCGTGACCATCATCGCCACTCATTGTCTATAAACTAGTTTAATTTGCAGGTAAGACCCACTGAGCTATGTAGCTATTTTCAGAAGCGACCTGCCCACGAATGATGGCTTAACAAAGTTGCTTAACACATTCCTGCGGAGGGAGCTGGTAGGAACGTTGGGTTGCTCGGTCAATGGCCTGAAGGTCAACGGCGGCGTGGTGTATTCCGCAAATATGCCCGACTGTGAGGGCGGGCACAAGCCGGCGTGAGTCGGTTAAACGTTGAGTTTTATAAGGGCACCACGGGGTGAACCCCTCCCCTCCCACCCCCACCCTCCCCCCTCACGCAGCCCCACCCTCCCCACCCAGCCCCTCCCCCCCTTCCCTCCCCACCCAGCCCCTCCTCACCTCCCCACCCGCCCCTCCCCACCCTCCCCTCTCCACCAGCCCCACCCCTCCATTGTTGGATGCACGACGGACGGACAGAATAATCCCCTGTGGGCTGGTGTAACCAAGAGGTTCCTACCAGTATGAAGTAAACTCTTGAGAAGGGGATTCATTTGATTTGTGGCCGAGCGAGATTGGAGAGGAGAGAGGTCGGAGCAGAGAGGAAAGAGAGACGCTACCGGCGAGCTCCCCTTGACGGGGTTGTCGACTGGAGGTCTCACGGGAGACTCGGTTGATGCTTCTGTTTGGATATCCGTGCAGACGTTCAGCGTTGGTTGGGGGGGGTGGTGTACCGTAGTGCATGGGGCGCCGCGGATGGCGAGATATAATCTCCGATTAGAACGGTTGGCTACGTACGGTGCGAAAGAAGTTCAACGCACAGTACATCACCTGCTGCCTGGTGTGCAGGAGGTCGTGGGTGGGTCGTGACACTCACAACGGAGTTCCTCTCCACGTTGATAATTAATCAACGTCACGCGTTTAGATTATTCTGCTGCCGCTGCCGCTATACATCTCCACACGGTGGCGAGACACTTCGTCGAGCATTCATTGTGGCCAGGGCGTGTCGGAAAAAGAAGCTTATTGCTCAGTGGCCCTTACCTGGTAAATACAAAAAAAACTTGTTATTTAGTTTTAGCGTCTCGTTGCAATTTTTGCCTGCGCCGGGTTCCGCTGATGTTCATGCCGTGGACCACGATGGCGCGTGTTTAGCCAGGGCCCAGATGAAGTTCTCGGGCACCAGCTCGGAGCTCCAATTGAGCGGCGTCACGATGGACGATGGAGGAGTCTACCGGTGCCGCGTCGATCTGCACAACGGCAGCTACAGTGACGTGGCCTTCCTCGAAGTTGTGGAGTGTGAGTAGAGGCCTCACTAACACCCTCGACTCTCTCTCTCTCTCGACACTCACTCACATTGACACTCACTCACATTGACACTCACATTGACACCCACTCACTCACATTGACAGTCACATTGACACTAACTCACATTGACACTCACATTGACACCCACTCACTCACATTGACACCCACTCGCACTGCAGAGCAGGAGTGGAAGATGGCAGCCTTCACGTGGTCCACTCTGTGCCGAGTCCCGAGTCCCTCCGTGCGATCGCGCCGCGTGCAGGGCCCGTGGGGACTCCCACGGTGACCGCCGACCCCG